CATCTCCTAGTCCCTTTAATTCACTTTATGAATCCCAAAAGGAAACTAGATGTTGTTGTGTTGTTGCCCATAACCGGACGTTATGGGTGATTTTCTCATCATGGAATATTTTTATTACTAATATGCTGGATTACTTTTTATCTGTGGACCCTTATGGCTGAATGGAGTAGAAACAATTGAAGATTTGATTTATAAAACTGCTACTGGACGCCTTCAAAGGTATGTCACTGTGGCTGCTTTGATTGTTTACATTTTGAGATGCTGCTATATCTGTTTTAATTGTGCTTTGGTGCTTGCTATGTCCATAAAATGATCTTGGTGGTTGAATTGTGGAGGATCTAAGCTTTCCAATGATGTCTAACATGTCTATAGTAGAAAAGTTTTTACCGGTGGAATTTTATGCATTCTGAGTTATTACCCAACTTAACATCCACCGGGTCGCCGGCGACCTGGATGTCTTAGAGAGGTTAAGAATTTTTTGAAACGCATACTTTTTCCCTTTTTCTTGAGTAAAGAGGTCAAGTTGATGCTTCAACTTTTACCAGAATGTTTTTAAACTGCAGTATCTATACTTCTACTTAAGTAACCAATGTGTGTACTTTTGACACCACCGTGTTGTTTTTAGCCATGGGGGGTTTCTTTAACAGGTTGATGTTGATGACTGTTGGCAGGAAGGTCTGGAGAAGCCTTTAAAGTCTGAAGACACTGCTCAGGGTTGCCATTTTGTTCTTTATAATCATTGGTCACATTTATTTTGAAATTCAATGTATTCATCTACTGATGTGCATCTAAAAAGTCACAGGCTACATCCTGACACTGTTATTCCTTTTTTAGCCTCAGTATATTTGAAAGGATAATCCTTGTTTCTTCAGTCTGTGTTTAAGTTGACTAAATTAAGTCAATATCTAGATTTAGCCTCTTTGCGTCTTTGATGTTTGGATGAGAATTGGTTTGTTGTTAGAGTTGGATCTAACCGTACCATTACTCTGCATGTATCAACATGTGATTACTTTAGATATTTTTATCTCTGTACCTCAAAGACTTGCAGCAGCCTTTTTTTGTAGTATTTTCACACTGGGATTTTTATGAAGCTAAACAATCTAATCAGAAACCGTTTCTGCTTAGTAAAAAAACAACAAAAACATTTTGTATTGAGCTTTATGACATCATCAGAATGAGCAATTTTACATTTTTTATTTCAAGTTAAAGTAAATAAATCAAATTAACCTTTTTTTCTTTTAAAAAGATTGAATTTAAAAAGGTTTCGGTACAAAAACTCCACCAAAGGTAAAATTCAACAGCAGTAATTAAATAGTTGCTTTAAAGTTCACAGTCTGAAGCTTTCTGCTGCCGCAGAGCCACTTTTGGACTCAAATATTTAAACTATGTATTAAAATGTAAATGTAATGAACACAATGCTTTTTTCTCCCCAGCAGTTTCTGTTATATATGCATAAACTGACCTCAGAAAATACACTATTAGTATTTCTTATTTAGGGTTCTTTTTTTGTCTTGTAGTTTAAACTACACTTTATTGTCTTAAAGTCTTGTTATTTGTATTGTTATTCAAGAAAACTAATGATTCATTTAAAAGTCTGATGACCAAACCCAATTTATATTCTTTACTTTATACATTTATATGATTTTTTTATAGTAGATATTGTAAAAATAAAAACATTAGTTTGGTGTTTTTCTTAATTTGTTTTGTTTTCTTGACCATCGGTCTGCAACACAGCTCCAGAGCCTGGCTGTTTTAACCCTCTATAATGGATCATAATATAAATTAAAACATATTAATGGTTTTGAATGTAGTATAATAACATTTTCCTGTCCTGTAAGCTTATATTTGAGGTGGACTTTCCCAACAGGACATTAAAATAACAGTGATATGATTTTAGATCTATTTTCTTTTCCTTACCTTGGCAACCAGATTTTTTTACACAATTCTCCACGATTAGCAACATCTGATAAAAGAATCTGTGTGTTTTTATTTTTCCTAACATCCAAAATCTAAAAATTCAAATCCATAGGAGCAGATTTCCTATGGGAGATATTTTACAAAATGAATAAGTTGTTTTACTGTAAAGGTTATAAGAAATGTGAGGCTTCCCATGATTTTAGTTAGGCTGGACTCTTGGATTTAAAGGTTGCCGACCCCTGCAAGTAGAGCAGTGATTCCCAACCCCTTCTGATCCACGAATGCATTGCAAGTGGTACAGTAAAATATTTTATTTCTGAGGTAGTTAAATAAAATAGGGCTGGGATCTGTTTTGCTTTGTGAGGAATCAATTTAAAAATTAAACAAAAAAGTATTTTTGACACATCAAAACCAAGCGGAAAACAAAGTAAAACTACATCAGTCCGACTATAATTTTTGTTCTATATTTTGTTTTAAATTCCTCAAGTTTAAATGTGATTATTAGGGAGCTCCAGTTTGATAAAGGCAGATTTATAGTATAACTTTATTTAGATTGTTTTTCATTTTAGATGGAAAGCATACGGTACCTAACAATTGCAGGCTCAAATTAAAATATTGAGTAAAAAAGTTTTTATTTTATAATCAGTTATTGTACGTTCCACTTTTGGACAATCGTCAATACTTTTGAGTGAGAGGGGGACGGATGGTACGACAAAACACTGAAGGTTTACACAAGTCAAAAGAGGTTGGGAGACACACTGCTGTAGAGTAGCAGACCAGGATGCTTGCAGGTCCCATGAAATGTCTTCACCACCAAGTGCAGGATAAGGCAAGGAAAATATTTGGACTATTAGTCCTATTTCTAAATGCGTAATGATGGTAATACCTCGCCTATTCAGCCAGGCCAACCCCTTTAAAACACCCCCCTTTCAGAGACATAGACATGTATGGGACATTGCAGACTGACAAAGAAGCCTAACGACCTCTATTCCAAAGGGGTGAACCCGTTGGTCCGTTACAATTTGCATGTTTTCTGAACGCTTTGTTAGGCTCTGTATAAAGCCTTGAACTCAACGCTATTTCTGACATTTTGAATTGAAAAAGCTTCATGGATGGCAAGCGAAACGTCTTAAAACTTGGAAACAAAGTCCAGGGGATTGTTTTTAAACTTTTCTAGAATGGTTATAAAGATGTTTAATTGACAATGAGAGCAATATAGATTTTTTTCTGCTTTAAAATTTGTCTGGTTGATTCAGTGGAATGAGTATTTTTAAATGAGCCAGTGATTTTGCAACTGATTTGACTTTAAGTCATTAAAGCATGTTTCTACAAGATTTCACCTTGATGACCTTTGCACTCCTGTGTTGCTCACAGTAAACGTTAAGGATTGTAAATAGATTGTGAACAGTGTCTGGTGATTATCAGTGAGAAAAAGCCAGCGTATCAGCACTGTCTGCGAGTTTAGCGTCTAATCAGAGCCTTGTCAGCACAGAGGTCGATCGCTGCAGAAGGTCAGATGCTGCTGCTTAGCATGATGTGAATCACAGGCTTTTCCATTCTTATAATCTGATGAACCTGCTAATCCAGACTATCACTCAGACAGTTAGGTCATTACTAACTACTCATTTTAGAAACGTCTGTCAGCTGTCTCCACCTCATAGGCACAGAGGATGATGGTAATAATAGAAAACAGTTCATTAACAAACTTTCTCTTTACGACTGACTAACACATTAAAATCTGATTCAGTTCCTCTACAGCTTGATTCAAATAATAAATCTATGAATTATTTCTCCAGTTGAAAGTTTAGCAAAGCTGGGTGACCTCAATGAACCTGAAGCAGAGCGTATTTGTCGTTACCTTGACTGTGTTGGCGATGAAATAGTTTTAATGACTGTTTTGAATGGGTGGCTCTCTCGTGGAAACATGCATTTGTTCATGTTTCCATTCAATCACTACTATTGCTTGAAAATGATTTCAATAATCTATTAATCTGGGTTAATCTTCCAGCCTTATGTAAATTAATGTGATTTATTCCAGCGTTGTTCTTAAAACCATAGCTATTACCTGGATGGTATTTTAGTGAAAAAAAAAACTCTTCTCCCTGCTTTTGCAGGTAAATAACTTGTTTAGTTTTAAATCAAATGTGCAAATTTAAAATGTTTTTCATCATAATGCTTTGATGTTTTAGACAGGGAAATCTAATGTTGTACATTTACATGAAGCAAATCACACCTTATTTGATAATTTTATGCACCACTGCCTCAAAAGAACAGTGATATAATATATAAAATAATACTGAGTGATAAGGCGCCTTGGTTCTGATTTTTAAAAAATTATTCAAATTAATCGTGATTAATCGATTATCAAAGTTAGAATCAACTAATTTATTAATCGGTAAATTGTTTACTGGATTGTAAAGACTATAAAATATTCCTTTAGCTGACAGAGCAACCCATTTAGAAGTAATTTTTCCATCCATCCATCCATTTTTCGTGTAATTATCCCAAAATTGTACAAAAAAAAGTATATAAACATTTTGCATTTAAGATAAAAAAAAACAGATTTCTTCAATTAGACATGTTTTAGGTTTACCTGGTTTAATTTCTTTAAAAAAAATCTTCTTTAAGGAAACTTTGGCTATCAGATTATTGATCAAAATAATAACAGATGAATCTACTTGCTAAATAATCATTAGTTGCAGACCCTTTTCTGATCATGCCTGGTAGATGATTGTACTTTCCGTTGACCTCAGCACTGATATGCGGCACTTTTTTTGGCTTTGATTGAAACCAAACGTAGTTCTTGAACAAAGATCTCTTCAATAAAATGAAGAGATCTCCTTTCAGTGTCAATCTGTCTTTCTGGGCCACAAAAACAGAGCATGATTACAGACTGATGCTGTGGTAGATCCTGCTGCAGTCTCACTGCGCCCTCTGCTGGTCGGTAACCATAATAAGGGTTGTTCATTGACTTGTGGGCCTCAGTGCTTTACCTCCACCGTCTGTTATTCCCTTCGCCTGAAAGACGTTAGCATTAACATGAAAACATTACTGTAAGCTTTTTTATTTCTGCTTCTTTGCAGTCACAGATGAAGATACAGTCAAGAGGTACTATGCAAAGTTTGAAGAGAAGTTTTTCCAGACCTGTGAAAAAGAGCTGGCCAAAATCAACACCTTCTATTCTGGTAATGACAATGCAGAGTCTTCCTCATACATCTACCAGAGCATTTGTGCCTTAAATCACCTTGTTTTCCCTTAATCCCTCCAGAGAAGCTGGCTGAGGCTCAGCGGAGATTCGCCACGCTGCAGAATGAGCTGCAGTCCTCACTGGACGCCCAGAGGGAGAGCTCTGCTAACGGGCTGGGTGTCCGGAGGAGAAAAACTGTGTTTGCCCTTTCGCAGAAGGAGAGATGCAAACACAGGAACATAAAGGATCTGCAGCTGGCCTTTTCAGAGTTCTACCTCAGCCTCATTCTGCTGCAGAACTATCAGGTGGATGACGGCACACAGTTACAGCCTGCTGGGCTTCAGATAGCACCTCTTATTGCATGTGGTGGAGCTTTTTCTCTGATACTTTACTGAAATGTTTTAATTTAAAGGTATAATGGAGCATTTTTGCTAATTTGTTTAAAGACTCCACTTAAAAAAAAATGCACGTACACAACCCTGTACATCTATTAAACGCGTGCGAGAGCGTGCACGAGTCCATTTCTCCTCGTGCACGCTGTTTAATCGTTGCTGTTCTCATTGCTCATAAAAACGTACTGTGCCTGAACGTCCGCCCTAACCCCTAAATCCCTCAATCACTATACAGAGTGGGGACTATATAGTAAACTCAGTCAATTTACCGTTCAGACAGATGATCCCTACCTTTTAGTCCCTGTTGTTAACGATAATCAATTCAATTCAGTTTATTTATGTAGCGCTAATTCACACTTTACAGTTCACCAGATCATACAATCAAACTGATTTAAAGTTTTCTATCAAAGGAAAACCAGTTGATTACTTCGTCTCATTAACTCGAAGGAAATCCCTCACGCTAAGCATGCTGGTAGTGACAGACCAGGAAAAAACCTCCAGCAGAATCAGACTCAGTGTGAGCGGCCATCTTCACTAAAAGAAAGAAAACTTTCTAGCAAATCTGAGCTTCCTAGTTTCTTCCAGAAGAAACTGAAAGAAACAGTTTCTTCCAGCCGGAAAAATCCTGGGGGGGAAAAAACGGCATTCAGAAGAAACTTCCCACCCTGTGAGAAACCAACTGGACACCATGGACGTCCACATGTTCACCAGACAGACAGAGAATAGTTAATACTTCAGGCCTGGAGCTTTTATTTATACTCCCTGCAGCTTTCTCCTGCTTATATCCAACTAATATTACAGCAGGACGCTACATGTAGCAGCAGAAACTCAACATTTTTAAGTTCTCTTCTTGTCATCCCGGGGTGACAGTAGAGGTGTTCACAATCTGTTGATATTTATCACGTCTGACTTTATCACATCTGCACAAAGCTGAAGTTTTCAAACCATACATGAAATATCCCAACAGAGAAACCTGGGTGGGATGAATTATTTATATCAAATGGTTTAAACTGATGCCGTGCTGATTATACAGACTAGTTTATAGAAACGGGATAAACCTATCAGTTATTCCCTAATGTCAGTAGATCCACCTTCATAATATAACTGATTTAGTTCTGGGTACAGCGTCCATCATTCACATGGTTTTCCTTCACCCTATCAAAATAAAATTCCCTTGATGGCTCAAACTACAGACAACATCTCAATGGAACAGTTTTCAAGCAGATCCTCCAAACCTGCCTGAAAACTAACCTTTGGTGGATTATTTAGGATATATTTTACCCTAAAGAAAACTGGATGCTGGTCAAATATTAAAGTGGCTGAAAACCCAGGAGCTCTGAAGGCATCAGGCATGCATAGCAGCTTATGGAGGCGTACAGCCTGAAAACAGGCCATAGTTGCTTCTCTGCAGAGACATTTCAGCAAACTGACAAACCTGTTTCATCAGTTTCCCTTTAGTCCCCCTTTCATCAAATGATGAGACATCCTTTTACTCCTCTGTGTCGAGATGCATCGCAGGGTTCTTTTCCACTTAAAGGAATAGTACACCCAAAACATGATTAGCCTTCATTTTCTACTCAGCCCCATGCTGAATAACACTCTGGAGTACTTTTTTGATATCTCAAATGCATCTGGAGATCTGGGAGGCTTCTTGCTGTCTGCTGACATTCAAATAATGGAGGTCTATG